ATATGCTGCTTCAAGGGGTTAGATTTGCTTTCAGAATCCATCAGGTTTGTACCGTGATAAGCATTTTAATGGCTGTTCATTTTATATTTTCTTGTTCTATTAAGCATCAATAAGATGCCTGTTTGTGCTAATGGAAAGTAGCATTTAGAACGTGATTGTTGAACTGAACTGTCTGGTTTGGTTGGCATTTACTAAGAACATAGATAGGGGTACAGAAACAGCTGAGACTAAAAAAAGGAAGCGGTATGGCTGAAACATCTAAGTAGTGTTCATGAAGGGGAAATAGAACGATGCATGGCAAAAGTTATTGATTTTTTTCTTGCGTTATGCAGTTTGCTGGAGGATTTGATGCAGAAACAATGCATGCATTTGAGGAACTTCGCAACCTTGCTCACCTGCTTAACAAAAAGTAAAGATGAATGGTGGGGAGTGGGAGCAATTCGGGCTTGCCATCTCAATAAGCTTTACTTGGATATCTAATCTATATAGTGAAGATCTGGCTGGGGTAGTGTATGTATGGTGTGGTTTGCTCAGGGTTTTAAACAGTTGAAAGTTGTACAAGTTTTGTGTGTAATATAGGAAGCAATTTTGTTTGTGCTTTTTACTTATTCTTAAAACAAAGGAATGTAAAAAATTTGATGAGAAAGCGTACAACTGTTCATACTCAAGTTTCTATCTGGAAGGTTTCTGTCAGATTTGTCCACTGAAGCCACCCTCGCTGTTTTCTGGGCACACATGGCGGTCATGGACAGTTTCTTGGAGCAGTTGCTCTTGTTCAGTTAGCTCCTTGGCTTGTTTTGAATTCTCTAGACAAATAACTAGACAAGGCATGCAAATTCTTTAGATCATCCCTCTGTCTGGAAAGCTACTGGTCAAGCAAGCTTGGGAAGTTGATGTTCAAATTCAGAAAAGGGCTTCTCCAGATTACTGGAGGCTATCAGATTCTTGACATTGGGACTGGGGATCTTAAGAACTCACATCCAAAATGATGATACAGGAACTTACAAATAACATTTGAATTTGAAGCTTTCATGCTTCTTGGCCGTTGTACATTTTTTTCAAGTTCAAGTTCATCAGAACCAAGTCAAGATGATGATGTAACCAACCAATCAACCAACCCTTCTTCTCATGCCAATGTTTTTCAGGTTCAAGTTCCAGGAAACTTCATCAGAACCAAGTCAAGATGATGATATAACCAACCAATCAATCAACCAACCCTTCTTCTCATGCCAAAAATCTGTCAGGTTGGAAGGAATTGGATTTCCATCTCATTGATCGAAAATGGAAGCTAGCTCCATGTCAAATTGCCATTGAAGGCAACAGCAATGACAGATGATCCAAAGAGTAAAAACAAAGAAAAGGGAAATCACCATGGATAGACTATTCCAATAACCATTAGACACTATCCTTGATGCATGGGTGTCCACTGAAAATCCAGTCATGGACCAGAGAACTAGGCCAATGGCCTGTAGGTCAATCCGGTAAACTTGAAAAAAACAACAGTTCAAAACAATGAAACTGTCTATAACAAGAACAAGTGAAAATATTAGTATTTTTACTGTTTTGGCAAAATATATTAAATTAAAAAACAATAAAAAATTATTAATTTAATATTTTTTAAAGAACAAACCCCTTTTAAAGAATATCAATCTATCATTTTTTACTTATTTAAAAACCCACAGATGATTTTAATTATTATTTTTTATAAAAAAAATCTCAGCAAAAAAGCGGAAAAAGAAAGGACCCTGAGGGATTTGACATTTGACAAGATGTAAGATCACAAGCAAGCAACTTGGTGGCCAGACCAGAACAAAACAAGAAAGAAAAAGGAAGGATGGATCTTCACTGCCTGGTCAATCAAATTGATTTTGCTCCTTCAATTCTCGATTTTACCCTTCCTCGAATCTTTCCTCTTTTTAACCCTACCTTTCTTCTTACTTAAATAATTCAGATTTCAAAAAAAAAAAAATTAAAAAATAACACGTGCAGAAAAAACTCTTGTAATTAATCTCTGCGGGTGTCTTTGCTTGCACGGCCACGCAATGTTTTTAAATTTTTTTTATTTTTTTAAATTGATTTTTAATATTTTTTTACATTATTTTAATGTCCTGAAATCAAAATAAATAAAAAATCTAATTTTTTTTTAATATATTAGCAAGTAAAAATACAAACTAAACACACATTAAGATTTGAATTTGTATTACATAAAATATTTTATAGGAAAATATTATTTATGTTTTTTTGAAAAAATATTTTTCATAAAAATGTTTTTATGTATTTGTCCCTAAAAGTATTTTACAGGGAAACAAATCAATATAAAATATTTTACAATTAATTTTTAAACTTAATTTATTTGGAATGAAAAAAAATAACTCGTGAAATTTTATGAAATATTTTATAAATAATAATTTATTAATAATATCATTCATCTATGTTAACTATTATTTTCATCTCATTATCACCATTTTTATTTCAATAACATCATTATTATCACTTTCTTTTTCACTATCATTGTCATCTCATCAACATCAACACTATTATTATTATTATTATTATTATTTTACTATTTTGATCACTATTATTATCTTATAATCACCACCATTATATCATTATCACTACTATTTTTTATTTCACCACCACCATTTTTTAAAAATTCAAGTTTAAATTCTTTTGTGAACAAAAATCTCTCTGAGTTATGAGTCATAAATTGCAAAGCACCCTATATAAAAATTAATTTCGGGTTACAGGGGATAATTCAAATTATAATCATAAAAATTATTTTAAAAATAAACACGCTTTAAATCTAGTGTTTTAAAGCTAGCCATGCACTGTGTTTTCAAATGAACATATAATGTAAACCACATAATATTTTAATTTCTCTTTAAAATACTTTTAATTATGTACCATAGAAAGAACATCAGTTCATCAATAATTGGAAACCGATAGGGGTATAGACAATCTTGAAATCATTGACATATATATATATATATATATATAGTATTAATTTAATACTTTTTAAAAGGAATATCAATCTATCATTTTTTATTTATTTAAAAACCCACAGATGATTTTAATTATTATTTTTTATAAAAAAATCTCAGCAAAAAAGCGGAAAAAGAAAGGACCCTGAGGGATTTGACATTTGACAAGATGTAAGATCACAAGCAAGCAACTTGGTGGCCAGACCAGAACAAAACAAGAAAGAAAAAGGAAGGATGGATCTTCACTGCCTGGTCAATCAAATTGATTTTGCTCCTTCAATTCTCGATTTTACCCTTCCTCGAATCTTTCCTCTTTTTAACCCTACCCTACCTTTCTTCTTACTTAAATAATTCAGATTTCAAAAAAAAAAAAATTAAAAAATAACACGTGCAGAAAAAACTCTTGTAATTAATCTCTGCGGGTGTCTTTGCTTGGACGGCCACGCAATGTCTTTAAAAATCTTTATTTTTTAAAAATTGATTTTTAAAATCTTTTTTACATTATTTTTATGTACTGGAATCAAAATAAATAAAAAATATGAATTTTTATTTTATTTTAATATCTTAACAGCTAAAAATACAAACCAAACACATGTTATAGGGAAATATTATTTATGTTTTTTTAAAATATTTTTATGTAGTTGTCCCTCAAAGTATTTTACAGGGAAACAAATCAATATAAAATATTTTATGATCAATTTTTAAATTTAATTTATTTATTAGAATAAAAAAATAACTCATGAAATTTTATAAAATATTTTATAAATAATAATTTATTAATAATATCACTCATTTATATTAACCATTATTTTTATTTCATTATCATTATTTTTATTTCAAAAAACATCATTATTATAACTTTCTTTTTTGTTATCATTGTAATCTCATCAACATCAACATTATCACTATTATTATTTTTTATTATTCCAATCACTGTTATTATCTTATAATCACTATTATTATATCATTATCACTATTATTTTCTATTTCACCACCACCATTTTTTTAAAGAATTCAAGTCTAAATTCTTTTGTCAACAAAAATCTCTCTGGATTATGAGTTATAAATTGTAAAGCACCGTATATAAAAATTAATTTCAGGCTACAGTGGTTAATTTAAATTATAATTATAAAAATTATTTTAAAAATAAACGCGCTTTAAATCTAGTGTGTAAAGCACATAATATTTTAATTTCTCTTTAAAATACTTTCAATTATGTACCATAGAAAGAACATCAGTTCATCAATAATTGGAGACCGATAGGGGTATATACAATCTTGAAATCATTTATATATATAGACCTGAATATTATACTAAGAGATGACATTATTGTTTAAATTATAGTGTCCTCAACAAAGCAAGTAAATTTTACAATGTTACTCCTATTCTTTAAGGTCAAAATAACAGTGTTATAAGACCTGGCTTGGCTTGAGAGGTCAATCACGTGACCTGCTAATTTTACATCTAATCTAGGTTAGAATATTAGTGAAAAATCAGATATTTTGTTTTATTAAAGCAATATTATTTTTAAAAAATCAAAGTTTAGGCTACCCTCCTAATTAACCTGCGAATCAGCTCGGACAGTACCTTGTAAGTATGCAAAACAATATTTCCTGATGGAAACTATGCATAAGGGACTCGTCAGTTTGGATATGTTGTTGTGTATCCACAGAGGCGGACACAACTGAGATCTCAGTGAAACATCTTATCATCACAGCAAGAATCTTTTTGGGCCATGCATCGACCCAAACTTGTAATATGGTATTAATGGCATGGTCAAGTTACTGTCCTCATTTGCAGGCTCTATAAATGATATTTGTCTTCGCTTATAGTGCAAGATCATAAATGTTACATGAACAATCACATGTTGTGTGATCATTCAACTCCATGTTTGTTTGCAGAAGTTCATACAAGCAAGTATGATCCTCTCTTTAAATATTTGAAAAAAGTTATAAGTTGTAGCTTCGTTTAAATCTATTTTTTCAACTTGTAATTGCAAAAGCTGCTCAAAATAAACCCCCCCCCCCTCCCGTTTTATGTGATTCCTCAAGAAAATAAGCCGTCTCTTAATTAGCTCCATCCCCAACAAGACTTGTAACATGTCAGCTGCTGTTGCTGCCGCCGCGTCTGCGGCCGCTATATCACATAATTCTGCAAGAAGTGGCTCGTCAGGAACTCCTGAGAGCCACCAATTGCAGAAAGGAGTGCTATTACCACCATCATCACCACTACCATTGAGTCGTTACGAATCTCAGAAGCGACGAGACTGGAACACTTTCGGACAGTACCTAAGAAACCACAGGCCACCACTGGCACTGTCACGGTGCAGTGGAGCTCATGTTTTGGAGTTTTTGAGGTATCTTGATCAGTTTGGAAAGACCAAGGTGCATAACCAAGGTTGTCCATTTTTTGGCCACCCCCATCCACCATCTCCTTGCTCTTGCCCTCTCAAGCAAGCATGGGGCAGCCTTGATGCTCTCACCGGACGTCTCCGTGCTGCCTTCGAAGAGAACGGTGGACTGCCGGAGACAAACCCTTTTGGTGCACGCGCTGTGAGATTGTACTTAAGGGAAGTAAGAGATACACAGGCAAAAGCTAGAGGGATAGCTTATGAGAAGAAGAAGAGAAAGAACCCAGTACAACAGCAGCAGAAGAAGAAATCACAAACTGCAGGAAATGGCACTTACAGCCATGTTCAACAAGGCATTTGTAATGGTGGAACTGATGGATTCGTTCCAAGAAATGTCCTGTCAAATGAGGCTGCTGTGATTGATGTTGGGGATGTGTACGTGTTCAACTAAGCCAATAAAAGTTGTTCTTAATTGGTCTAGGGTTTAGAAGGATATGTAATATGTAAGGTAATATTGTAATGCAAGTTAGGGTTTATCAGATGTTTAAGTACTTTTCCTTGTTATCTGTGCTAATGGTGTGTTAGTTGTTGGTAATTAAGAGAGAAAGTCATCATTTTCTCCTATTTTGGATCCTATGGTAACCAGGAATCATCAGTTAATCAAAATGTTTGTGAGATTTTCCTAAGATATAACAGCACAGGGACTGTGAGCAATATTTCTAAGATTATTTTTTTCCCTCTATCAAGTTTTATTTTGTATTAGGTTTTGATTCTATGTGACCTATCTGTAACATTTTAATTTTCATTCAAAAGAATCCATTCTACATAGCAATGAAAAACAGCAGAAAATAATCTTCATAACAAATTGAAAAGGTGAGTGTCCATCCTAAGAATACCTGTGTGATCTCATGAACATGATGGAACTATTTGAGCACAGAACATGTAAAAGGATTTCATTGTCCCACATAAAATTCTTTAGTCTGTGGTGAACTACCTGAGAGATTGTGATTACCATATGAAAACTAAGTAATTCATACGGGTAGTTCCATATAGGGTAATGATGGGATTGGAAGATTAAATAAGATATTTAGCATTAAACAATCTTCTGTTTACAAAGAAAAACAGGCCATATACAGTTAAACCCTAAGATTCTTCTTGACCAAGTCCCCCTTTTTTGCTCCTGTTTCAGTTTCCTTTGCTTGTGAAACTCTCTTTCCTATCTCTTTTTGCAATGTTTGAAGAAAAATCCAAAGATGTGCATAGCAGCTCTTTTATGGAAAGTCTCGTGTATCCGAGACACCTTTTCATATCCACAAATCCTCTGATGGGAAGACCAAGTCTTCACGTTGACAACTTCCCTCTCTTTAGCAAAGTAGTGGTGGTAGAGGTTTCTGATTTAGATGGGCAGTTGAGCACATTATTTCCTTCAATTCATATCCCCCAACTTTAATCATTACTCTGTAGTGGTATATTTTCTGCATTATTTTATACCATCCAACTGATTTTTATCTCATGGAATTTTTTTAGAGGATTACAGATATTAGCATCTTATATGGATGACATCTGTTGCACACATTAGGCCCTACATGAGCTGGTATAATATGCAAATGTGATGTAATCTGATAAAATCATGCTGCAAATAACATAATCTTGTGTTTTACAAATTTCCATGTCAAGTCAGATGAATCTTCAAAGCTTGCTTCAATAATGTGAATTAATTCTAGCCATAGGATCTCTTCAATGAAAAGAAGAATTGCAAGGAACTCCCAACTCCCTTAGAATTTACAACAGTCCTGCCAAGAAAGACAGCTTGACTTCCATCATCGGTCATGAAACACAGAGAGATACAAAAAAGGAAATGCACTCTTTTAAGGAATATGACACTGTCCACCCTGAAACAAACAAGATAGACCTGGAAAGATCTTTTAGGTACCAACTTCACCTCAGCAGTTTTGCTTTAATGCCCAAAATTCCTATGCAGTAAGGGTTGGCTCCTGTAGATGGATATGTTTTCTTACCTGGATTGTATGTGCTCGCGGCCGCACTGTGTGGCACACCTGTGGAAAACAAACTAGAATGCTATCACAGACAGCTGGTTCATTAAAATATAAGCTCCAGATCAGAATCAAATTAAGACACAAAGGTGCAAATTATGCTGGTAAGATTTGGAGATTATGTCCATGAAAGATGGGGCCTAGTTCTTAAAATAATCAGAGAAAGAGGATCTGGTCCTCACTTTAAGCAGCAAAGCATGGTGGGATTAGAATAGCAATACTTATCTTTTATTGCAACTTTGTATGCTATATAGCAATAAAGGGAATTTTTGATCCCCGGATGTCTTTGTATCAACTACGGAGTACCACTGCTCATCAGATACGAAAAGAATTTTAGCAGACATCATGCATCTTTGTCATATACATAATGAATATATCAAGGACAAACAATTCCCAAGTTCAATACAGAATGGCAAGTAATGTCATGGAGAGAATAAAGTATACCACGAACTTTAGCCTCAATACCAGTTCAGGAAATGGTCATGTTTCTTTTAGTAAGTTTCTTATCCTCGAGAACTGCCTATGAACCAAGATGGTAATCATCAAACTGCCGAATATAAACCAGACCTGGGTGTGTGATTTGTGACACTTGCTAATTATCTTTGTTAGTCTATAGATTTTTTTCTGGCTACAGAAGAGCATGAGAATTTATCAACAAGAACATACTGGAATAGGGCATTATTGTAAGGAGTTTACTTGATTATTGAGGTATTTGTGTTGCTTATTAAAACAGAATTTTTCGCAAATACCATTCTTGAAGTCAAGGAGTAACAGACACGTTGATATTTTTAACTATTATCATCGTTCTCTCCATGTGCAGTCTTCTATATGTTGCACACGAAAGCAATGACATCAAAATCAACTCAAAAGTTCTGTGTATATAAACAGACTTCTAATATCTATGCTATTGATCATCCAAACCTCAGTTCCAGATTTAAGTAGGACGCCAAACTTAGCATAGCGTTCACCGCTCTGGATAAATCTTTGGTAACCTAGACTCATCCTGTTTTCGATCAAAGGAGTTATCACCAAACTGCTGATCTAGTTGATAATAAGCTCTAATATCTGTTCAAATAAAACAGTAGTGAAAGTTCACAAGCCCATGAAATTTCGATGGGGATAATCAAGGTGTTACAAGGACAAGACACTAAAATTGACATGGGGATTACTAAGTAAGCAAATGGGGATAATCAAGGTGTTACAAGGACAAGACACTAAAATTGACATGGGGATTACTAAGTAGGCAAGCGAGAGCTAGACAGAAAAAGAAAGAGTGAGCAGAGAGCAACTCGCTGAACAAGAATATGGCAATGATCAGCAGGGAGCCGCCAATAAGGTTTCCTCAACAAGAGAATGTTTCGTCATAAATTAAAACTGGTAGCATGGGAAAATCATAAACCGAACCAACCTGTCCCGTCCAACTACATTCCAACAGAAAACTGGTAGCACATGGTGTCAAACAGCAATGCACATACATGAGCATAATAGATATGGATACATAATACACCAACCTTAGTGTTGAGTGCGAGAATTGTTCAATACATGTCATCTATATCTTGTTTCATAGCAGCCATTGCTAGATATAAGGGGAATGTGTCCCAAGAAGAAGCCCATCCTGAATAAGCCAACTGCCAAGTAGCCAAAGTTTGAGGGTCGGTAAATACATTAATGAAAAGATGCACCAAAGCAAATGTTGATGCGTACATAAAATAAATAAAAATTAAAAATTGTAAGAATAGGAGCGTTTTAGAAGCAACTTGACTTCTAGAGAGCAAGGAAGTTCATTACGTGAGGCAACACAAATGTAGTGTATTGATGAGGCTTCATCATTTGAACAGTGAAAACAATCACATTTTCAAATTATAAGGCCGCCTAGGGTAATACCTACTTAGAGTGTAAACAAGGGGAAAAAAACCTAGAGCAATCTGTGCAAGTTCTCTCTTTATTCGATTCTTGGTAAACATGTCATGTTGCATGTAGTAATTTTAAGCTAAAAAGAACATTTTTTTGACACAGGACTACAAAGACAAAAATTAAATAAAAATAACCAGTTTCATTATTTGACACATACAGACATTAATAATAAACCACAAACAATTTCCTAACCTCGTTTGGATCAAAATCAGATGACACAGAGAGGATGCTCGAGCCACAAATATGTTTCATGATCGCATCTGTTTCATCACTCCATTTCCTGCATTTATCTTAAAATTTCTTGTGCCATGTCCATTTCTCAAGATTCAATCATTTCCAAAACAAGCTACAGCTTGAGGAACATAACCAACTTTTCTTAGCTCTAGGAGGAGACTCTTCAGCAAAGAATAGATCTGAGGAGATTCCGGGTGACTTCCATCTGCAGCAAAAAACATACAAGTGGTGTTGTTGACCTCAATCCAACTGCATCCAGGAACTTTCTGGACTCCTCTTTCTTTCATCAAATGTTGTATCTTATGCACACTCCTCCATTTTCCAGCATCAGCGAGCACATGAGTAAGCAATAAATAGTAACCAGAATTTTTTGGTTCCAAGTCAAGTAGATATCTTGAAGCCACTTCAGCAAGTTCAACATTGCCATGGACTCGACAGGCTCCCAGCAACGTGCCCCAAACACTGGCAGCAGGTGGAAATGGCATGCTTTTTATGACTTCAAACGCTTCATCCAAATGGCCTGCCCGGCCAAACAAATCTGCCATGCAAGCATAATGCTCCATTTGAGCTGGGATACCATATTCCTCAGTCATGCAGCGGAAGTAGTGAACTCCATCCTCGACCTGTCCAGCATGGCCGCAAGAAGATAATATAGTGAGAAATGTGATATGATCTGGCTGAATTCCTTCTTCCAACATATTATGAAACAGTGCAAGAGAGTCCGCAAGGTAACCATGGTACCCATAAGCAGCAATGATGCTATTCCATGCAACTTCATTCTTCTCTTGCATCAAGTTGAACACCAGGCGAGCAATATTTAGTTTCCCACATTTGGCATACATGTTTATCAGAGCACTCATATCAAAAAGATCAGGCTCAAATGCACCTTTAATCATGAAACCATGAATCTCTTTCCCATAATGAAGCGCTGGAATGTTTGCACAAGCAGAGAGAGCAGCTGAAACAGTCACGCAGTCATACTTCACTCCTTCCATCCCCATTTGACGAAAAAGATATATGGCCTCCTCTGGTTTTCCATCCTGGGAAAAACTTGTGATTATTGAGTTCCAACAAATAGCATCCTTTATGGAAATTCTTCCAAAAATTAGGTGTGCAAGATCCAATCTTCCACATTTTGCATACATGTTCATAATTGCGCTTCCCACAGGACATTTCTCATCTAACTCATTCTTGATTATGTAACCATGCAATTCTCTCCCCAATTTTATAGCAGCCAAACCAGCACATGCTGGCAAAATACTTGAAAATGTTAAAGCATTTGGAATCATTTTCTTTTGAAGTAACCACCTAAAGATTTCTAAAGCATCCTTATTCATACCATTAAACACATAGCCTGAAATCATAGCCGTATAAATAACAATATCAAATTTTGTGCTTAGATTAAACATCTTGCATGCCACCACGGCAGCCCCGCATTTAAAGTACAAGTCAATAAGAGCACTGTTCAAGTACACATCCAAAATCACACCATGCCTCACTATATAACCATGAATTTCCTTAATTTGCCTGAGACTCGATGACTCAGCAAGTGATGGGAGGAAACTAGTAAAAGTGATAGAGTCTGGTTTAATACCGGCAGATATCATCTCATTAAACAACATCGAAGCATCATCCATAAACCCATTTTGTACATACCCACCAATCATCCTATTCCAAACCACCAAATCAATCTGAGGCATCATATCAAATAATTTACGTGCATCGCCCAATTGCCCGCCTTTTGAATACACAGTCACTAGTGTATTCCCCACCAAAGGATCAAAATCTAACCCGCTACGAACAACAAGCCCATGAAGCTGTCTACCATACTCAACCACTGCCTCAGAGCAAGAGATAGAAAGAACACAAGCAAACGTCACGGAATCAGGCTTAGCTTCAGAGCTCATCATATCCTTAAACAACTTAATAGCACTATCAGATTCCCTACACTGTACATAACCGTTAATCATCACATTCCACAAAACACAATCTTTATCAATCATTTTATCAAAAAAGAGCCTAGCATCCTCTAAACAGCCATTATTGGCATACAACTTGATCAAAGAACTAGCAACAAACATATCCAAATCAAAACCCATCTCCAAGATCATATCTTGAATCACCTTCCCTAATCTCACATTATTCAAACCACTGCAACACTTAATCACAGGAGGGAAAGTATACTTATCAGGAAACACACCACAACCCAACATTTTGAAATAAAACAATAATGCAAAATCAAAACAACCCATTTTGACTAACCCTCTAATCATCCAATTCCAAGGCATGGCATAATAAAACTCAAGCTGATAAAAAAGCTTCTTAGCATGCACGAAACTATTACATAGCACATACAAACCCAACATTTTCCCACCCAACAAGCCATTGTTGGTGATGTTTATTCCACTAACAACGAATTGGGCATGTAGTTGTTTTGCCTGTTCAAGTTTTGTACTTGGTTTTTGCAAGAATGATTCAAGTTGGGTGGCTAAAGAGTGTTCGGTGTTTAAAGAGATTGGATCTTTAAAGCCTTTTTTGAAGTTCGTGTGTAAAGACTTCGACTTTAGCCAACGATTTGTGAAATGCCTGTGTATTGAAGGTAGTTTTGTGTAGGACATCCTCAGTGTTTCGGTTTCTTGGCCTTCCGGTGCGAGGTTAATGAGTTATTTATGCAGGGTTTAAACGGTCATGATGGAGAGGTATTTTTGGGTTTAGAGAGAATAAGGGTATATATGGAAAAACAAAATTCTTTTTTTTTTTGGTTTAAGATCGTTACTTTTAAAACACCAATTATTTATGATTGTATCGAAAACAAAATAATTATAGAGTGAGCAAGGAAATTTATTGAGTTCAAATTTAAAAATAAATATTATAAAAATTTATTTTTCTAAACACACCAAACTAATGTAAGAGATGGTTTTCGCTCATATATATATATATATATATATATATATATATATATAAAGAAGAATTAGACTGATTTATTTATTTTTACCTTTTGAGTTCAACTTTTAAAATCTACATTCAAAAAATTATTTGTCAACTGATGTAGGAAATATGCATTTAGATCATATTAAAAAAATATTTAGTTTTGATTTATGTAAAAAATTCTAAGAAGAGAGAACAATTTAAAGAGAAGGAAATTCTATTTTTTTAGTGCTATGCCCTTTGACACCCTTTGTATTTATTGTTAGCAAAATCACATAAATAAAAATTTCCAGACTTAAATTAAACAATTACTTTTAAGAAATCTTAAAATTTCTTTAAAAAAAATTAAAAGAATTGCTCACTAAACGAATTTTATTTGAATAATACATGAATATCATCATATATATTTAAAAAATATATAAAAATGAAAGAAAAGTCAAAACATTTCAGTGTTTTTCTTTTTAGTAAATAGAACTACTAAATGATTTAATTAAGATTCATACAAACTAAAATTTAATCTGCTTAAAATAAGATAATTAATAGCGGTTAATTTTCAAATATTTAAGGTTGTTAGCTATGTAATTAAATATTAGTTAATTACTATGCATAAAATAAAAATAATTAAAGTTCGTTAATTTAAAAAAATTAAAGCTATTTTTGTTCTTTAAATAAAATAAACAATTTTCCTTTTAAAAGAAATTACTACGCTTTTTAAACTAAAAACTCAAACACCTTATAATTGTTTTTATGAAAATCACCTTCCATTCTTAAAGATTAAGCAACTAACACCTTTCTAGTACTTTAAAGCAAAGCAATATAAGTTTTTTTTTAAAAAAAAAAAACAAATAAAAGTAAGCTTTTTAAAAAAAAAAAAACAAATAAAAATAGAAGGGGAAACAGGTTGCAAGGAAATGCTTCCTCCAAGGCTATCCTCCCCTGAACCGGAAGGAAGTGGTTGCTCATCAACAGGGCAAATAAGAACAGCTCAGAACTCAGAAGTAATACGTTCAGAAATGGCAGCTCCAAGTGTACGTGGGGCAAGATAATTCATCGAGCGCACGTGCCGTGAATGCGAGGGCGATGCAGGTTGACAGAGAGAATATAACAGCCATCTGAACTAGTGTTGCTATACAAGAAATGTAATCAAAATCTTCGACTACAACAAAGAATCTCTCTTCCAAATGATGCAGGAAAATAAACTGTCATTTTCAAGGAAAGTCGTCCGGTCTATACCAGTCAGTTGCCATCAGCTACCAACTCTTGCACTCTGACAGGCCAGTTACAGGCGGCTCTTCAACAATTGGAAGTCGATCTTGAAAGATGCGATTAACAAATGATAACAGAGCTAAAAGGAGTCTTCCATGAGGGAAGTAAATATGGTCAGCGAAGAAAATTCATGGCTTCCATAGTTTCATTGTGGAATCTTCGCTGTAGGTGGCAAGAAGATTCCTATGAGGATGATGGGTCACGCCTATTACATCCTTCTCGTGAACCTGGCAGTATCAAAGGTCAAAACATGCACTTGCAAAGTTAGAATGACCTACGCACGAAATGGCACATATAAGGAGAAAGCCAAAACGACCAACTATGCAATTTCTTTAGCTGGTTTTAAAGACAGCTTCTGTATTACAACATTCATGCACAAACATGAAACAACATGCTCAGAGAAGGTTCTCCCTGACACTAAGATAAACGACAAACACCAGTCCATACAGTGTGGGAATGGAGGCTAGGGGTTAAAATTTGTTGGCCCCGAAAAACAATGATGGCATAAATGAATTAGCAGAAATAAATTTCATAGCAGCTTAACATCATGTAAATTCGTTATGTTTCACATATCACCCTAAAAGCCCTCCCTGGTAGTTGAAACAAGCACCACGTCCTGCCCAGATTCTTCCTTTTCTTCCCTCATTTTGTTTGTCTCCCTTCTGGGTTTATACCACAACACTCGATTGAGAATAAGTTTATTTTTACAAAATGTACATTGGTTGCCGGTTATAAATGATGGGGAAAAGGACAAAATAGAGAGCAACCCAAAACCCTAGATCCTGCCACCCTAGTAAAAACTCACCTTCATTAGATGCTCTAGTTTGCCAGATTGGTAGCTGAAGCAGTAAATATTCCTGCATGCAATTTTGAGGACCATTATTAACAAAATTAAACCATCTCAAACGCCCATCTCTCCAACTTATTCTCAGTAATAAATTGACATTTTCATTTCATCTCTCTCTTCATTTCTAAGATAACTCTTATTTTATGAGAAAAATAAATACAGAACAAGGTTGTAAATTTTACATAAGAACCAGACGGACAAAGGAATACCTGTCTTCACCAACACAGTAGATCCATTCCCCTTTTGGTGATATACAGGCTGCAGCAAAATCTCCACCTTCTCTTTTACCGGAAGAAAAGCTCTTCACAACCTGCATCGCAATCACGCAAAGCAATATGTCATTGATAATGAATTATCTAAACTCCTCTACTTATGTACTCTGAAAAAGTTTCAGTGAACAAAAACAAAGTGCCTGAACCAGTAAAACATAGAATCGTAATCTATCTATAGAATGATTATCAGTTTATATTTGCTTTTGTGGTGGTGTCTAAGGCTAGTGAAATATGCTAGAAGATGCTACAAAATGTCATGTTTTGCTGCCAAAAAGTTGCAGTACACTATAAAATTTGGTCCCAACCCCAAAACACAAACATAATATTAGCATCAGCTCGAGTTAAGAGAAACTACCTGTCCTTGAAGTGTCATAATGCATATCGATGATGTCTTGTTACATACAACAATGTGATCAGTGTTTTTGGGGAAAAGATGAACAGAGTTCACAGAAGCATCACCTCCCTAACAATCCACACAAGCAGCGATAATCAGCCACGTGTTATAGAAGGCAAAAGGCAAGACATATAGCAAGAAGCAAGATGAATTAAACGTATTCTATCCCAGGTAAGCCACACAAGACAATGCAGCTAACTCAATCTCATGATCATGCACATTGCATTGAGAAAAGGTACCCTCAATGGCGGTGGTGGCCTGAATGTATGTATACAGTCTGTACTCTTCATATCCCAAACCTATTAGGAAAAAAATTGGAATCTGTTATGCAAGCTGGAGAAAAGAAGTGTAACCTCATGAAAACACTGCACTTTAATGTGTGACTTACCTTGACCGTGCAATCACTGGAGGCAGTAATAACACGAGTCCCATCACTAGTGAAGATGGCATCATTCACATAGGATGCGTGTCCACGGAATTCTTTTAACAACTTCCCAGATTTTAGGCCATGAATTCTACAACAATGTAAAATATAGTTATTTAAAAGAAAATAACGGAAAATGATTGTTGTATGGATATGGAAATGGATAAAGTTAGAAACTAAATGACCACATGGGTTACATAGAAAGAAAAAAAGATAATAGTCTTAAGAGGTGTCATCTCCAAACCACGAGCTGCATTATAGTCATTAAGAGGGTCAATATAGAAAAAATTAATTTACTATGCACACAAAAAAATGTCCATTGCTGTAAACGAACCTCGCTGTGTTGTCAAAGGATGCACTCAGCAGCTGGCTTCCATCACGAGAGAAAGCAAGACTTGTGACTCCCTGAGAATGTGCACGTTCAAGACGACGCAAGCATTGACCAGTCCTTATACGCCAGACCTGAGAAAAGGTACATTTTAGACTAAGTTTCTTAAAAAGACGGCAATGTCAAATTCCAAATTTAAATCATTTTTTTTCCATATGTCCTCACCAAAATGCAAATTTCACCACAGCTGAAACAACACAAGCTTAATTGTAAAGGAGAGCTAAAACATCAATGTTATCATTATGTATATAAAAATAAAATGTTTTCCTACAATCATGAAGCATTCTCTTAGTCCTAAAATCTGCATGTCAATAAACTCAAATACATGCAACCTTAATAAAAACTAAAGTTTCAGGTTCTAAGAACTTTTTGCATTTCATCTTGTCATGAATTTTTTAGCTCCCTGATTCTCTTGAGAAAAACTTCCCACTTCCCCTCTCAATAGAGTTACCAAATTGTCTCAAGAACTCGTACTTCACAAGATCTATTAAACTCATGCCTCTATTCTCTCAGAAGGGAGCTTTTATGGATAATATAAGATCCACAGCCATCAAGAGAACTAGAGAAGATAAAATTAGATATCATGTAGGATATATGAAAGAGAGAGAATTCAGAGCTACAACATAGATGCAAGCATGTAAGGGTATGACTTACTTTGATCTTCCCATCTTTCGCTCCAGATGCAAGCATCTCAGAATCTCGGCTAAAATCAACACAGAGGACAGGATCATCGTGCATCATAAAAGTTTCCTGGAAAGATTTTACATTTTTACCAGAAAATATACAACTAGTAAAGAACAACTCCACTGAAAATTATTTAATCCTAAATCAATTTGAAACAATCAAAGGGTACATGGAAATAATCCCATCCAATTATCTACTTTTCATTCTTTCGCTACTCATGTTTTGGCACATGCTTGAGTTAATTGACTGCTTGTAAAACTTTACAAAATACAGGACACCAATGAAGACCTAATTTGGGATTCTTTAATAATACAGAGCATGTCATCACCGAAGCAGCATCAGTTTAGTGTGGTGAATGGAAGAGTGTTCAGTTTTGGATGATATATGATGCAGGGATCAACCTTAGATGTTTATTTTTCGAGATTTTAT